GCCCGGCCGGCTTTGGTCGGGCTTTTTCAGGCCCCAAAAGGGGGGCCCCCCCCCCCCACCCCGATGGCGAGGGCCGGCCAGCGGCCCTCGGGGGGGGGGGGGGGGGGGTGGGGGGGGTCTCACTGCTTCCAGGGGGGGGCGGGGGCTGTTTTGCGCAGAACCGGCCCGGCCAGCTCTAATCTCCAAGCCCCGCAAAAGTTATTCGGATCCCCCTCCCCCCGTTACGACGCGCTCCCTCCTCCGAAGACCGCCGGCCGGCCCTCGCCATCGGGGTGGGGAGGGGTGTCCCCCCTTTTGGGGCCTGAAAAAATCCAGCCAAAGTGGGGCGGACGGGGCAGACGGGCTCCCTCCTCACCATACTCTTGACCGAGACGTCGAGGGCTCGGCAAACGAGGTCCAGGATGGCCTGGGCGGGGACCGCCACGGGTGCCCCAAAATCGTTCCTGAAAAGAGGAGAGGGGAGACGGGGCAGGTCGAGACGGGCTTCCCCCATGGTCGAACAGCCGGGGAGGGGAAGGGGGTCCAAGGCCCCGACCTCAGCATCCGGCAGAGGCAATTGGCCAAGGCCGCAAAGCGGTGTTTGGCCAGGAGCAGCGGGCTGGCCTCGTCCTCCCACGGTGGCAGCACGACCTCTTCGCCAGGCCCGTCGTAGTGCGGCGGTTCTGAAGGGAAGAGCGGGGAGTAAGCGCTGGCCCATCGGTTGTTCCCCACCCCCACCCCCTCCCGCCGACGGGAACGCACCGCGGCCTTCCTCCGAGGACCCCCTCCCCCCCGAGACCGGCGGGGTCCCCTCCAGAAGCGGAGGCCGCTAAGCTCCTCGCGAGGCGGAAACCGCCGGAAACGCCTGGATCGCCGGCGTCCCACTCACCCGTCTCGGCCCCCTCGTACAGCGTGCCCAGGAGGCGGTGCAGGGTGGCCACCAGAGAATGCGCTTGCTGCTCCCACGACTCCCGGTACTTGAACCCCTGTGCGAATCCTGCGCCCAGGGAAGGCAGGAGCGCGTAGCACTCGCAGGCCAGCTGGCGGAGGGGGAAGGGGGGAAAGGAAAGCGGCAGGGGTGGCGTGAGCAGCCGCGGGGAAGAGAATGGACTCTCCCCACCACCACTGCCCACCCCCAGGTGGGAAAAATCCCAGCGGAGCACCAGGTGCCGTGCTGAGGACTAGCGCCGTTCGGCCTCGCAAGCGGAAGGTGGCCAACAGCTGACTACAATTGAAGGAGGATGAGAAGCAAACGCTAAAACTTTGTACTGACTTCAAAGAAAACCATTGTTTGATAAGTTGTTCCCCTAGATACATGAAAGTATAAGTTTAATGAATAAAATTGAACAGAAATAAAGGAAGAAACAGGGAGAAGTTGGAAAAGAGAAATAAGATACGAAGTTGAATATATAAGATGCATATTAAATTGTGTGTGGAAAGGTGACAACTTAGAACTATGTTGTACTTAAGTGAGATGTCTTATTTGTTTTGTTAAGCAATTTTTAGAAAAGATGTTCTGTGTTCTGATGTTTTATGTTTTGTTTGTTTGTGTATTCTCTTTGAAAATAAAATTTGTAAAAAAAAAACCAAAACTTTGCGCTGACTTCAAAGAAAACCGTTGTTTTATAAGGGTTCCCATAGAAGCCCGATACCTATTGGAAAAGGAACGCGTAAAATGCTTAAGACTGAAATGAATATTAATTTTAACGATAAGAGATTAATTGCCATGGATTATTGTTTCAATTACATTATAAACTTATAATTTTTTTAAAAAAATATAGTACGTGGCTTTAGAACGTACTAAGCAGAATCCGATTGAAAATTATATATTGTTTTAAGTGTTCAATTTAGGGGAAAGACATAAAGGCGTCATACTCATTATAATTATCTTGCAAAGTATGAACAAAATTATAGTCAAATGATTAATAGCTCAATAGTTCATTAATAGTTCAATAGATCAATCAATAATGATTGATTTATTAATGATTGATCATTGAATACTAGGGTATTCAATTTTTGATTGACAATATGAGTTATCATGCAACGTAACTGTAATTGATACTATGAAATGGATGCACAAAAAATTTGTAAACCAACCGACACGCTGCTTGTACATTTATGAAAGAAAGCTGGATGTTTTTATGTTTGGTTTGTTTTGGTTTGTCTT